AGTTTTTTTTTAGTCATTTTTATTTTCTTCTCTTCAAAAATATCGAATGAAAAAACTTCGAAAATTTGCCGAAAATATTCTATAAACAACGAAATTCTATAAACTTTTTCTATAGAATTTCCTCTTGAATACGTCAAAAGAAACGGCAAAAAACGTATAGCAAATCCAATAGAAGTCTTATAGAAAGTCTATAGAAAATACCTATATAGAATTTTTTAGGGTTTTTTATTAAAAATTTTCGTATGTGGTTTTTCACAATGATTATCTTTTTCATAGTGCGTAAGTTGAACATGCATCGCTGCACTTTTTGCAATGCCAGTGCTATTACTGATCATGTATCAGTCCCTTGTTGGCACTGGTTTTCATGCAAAAAGTGTGCCATGAAGATCCTGCGGAATGCAACAAGTAGGGGAGGAGCAAATCTCGCATGCCACGTTTGCCACAACGTTATCACGGAGTTCCGTTATGTAGATTGGATAGAACACTAAAAAGTGGCATAACGATGAGTAAGGAATCAATATCATAAGTCACATTTAATGAATATTTGAATAAAAACACGTCGTTACACTCATTAACCAAACTCATACGTCTTACTTTTCAGTTATATATACAGCTAAAGACAAAATTTCCCAAGGGAAATGGATTATAAATTGCAATTGACCACATTGTCTTATGTGAAAATGAATATTTTTTCTTCCAAATGGAAGCATTTTAAGAGTGAAAATTCAAGCTTGTTTTTTTTAAATTGGGGCAATTGAATACAGTCTAATAAATCAGAATATGCGTATATTTATGTATGAGTTTTCATTATTTTTTTATGCGGTTGTCTTTATGGCGTTTGATGTGATTGAATTTCTTTTGCTTCCGAATGGGAGCTTTGTAATTAACACGTAACTTGAAGTGAGTGACTTTTTATGACGAGTGTGATTACAACCCTCGCTTTTCGGTTCGCCTTTTTTGGTTNTTTTTTTATGCGGTTGTCTTTATGGCGTTTGATGTGATTGAATTTCTTTTGCTTCCGAATGGGAGCTTTGTAATTAACACGTAACTTGAAGTGAGTGACTTTTTATGACGAGTGTGATTACAACCCTCGCCTTTCGGTTCGCCTTTTTTGGTTCGGGCTTCAAATCTCACACCCGCTCAAAACAACCCTTACCACTGCCTTACGTAAAATACTATTAATTTTTCACATGCGATTTGTTCAGAAAATCAGAAAACAGAAAGTATTGAGAAACGGTGACTTTTCCGCCATGAGGATAGAGCTACGCAAAGTAGTGATTTTATATTTAAAAAAAAAACAATTTTGACAACTAATAATGGAAAAAAAAGTCAACCCTTCGCATTACATCAAGTAGATAGTTTGATGCTGCCATCTCTGATTTTTGGAACGAACTCACTTGGGAAACTGTTTATGTACTGACTGCAATACACAACCCGTAAGGCCCCTCATTGTAGATAATGTATCGTTGGAAATGTGCCACGGAAATCTGCATTATCAGCAGGGAAAAACTTGTAATAATATTCATGATTGTTCATTTCCCATTTGGAAAGATTGAAGATTGAACAATAACTGTTTCGGTCTAATGTAATATCACATGAAAGTGCACTCTTGGTTTTTCATGGTGCGAATAATTATTATTTAGAATAAAAAGGTTCTCTATAAATTCTTACGCTGACTCATCAGATAATAGATAAACGCATATTTGATAAATCACCTATTAGAAAAATGATTATTTGGTAATTCAAAGGTTCCAGAAAATATTTACGTCCCTTAACATGGGTTTGGATTATTAATGATCCCGTTAATATTATGAACCACACTTATGAACATCTGAAGAATTCACGATATGAAAATTCATGAAATGGTATAACACTTAATCCTATATAAATCTTATCCTCATTTTTATGGGTCCATGATAATCGATTCCCGTATTTTTGTAGTTCTGGGAAAAATACTTTCTGAAGGTTAACTGTATCGAACTTGTCATACTCCATGTAATACGGGGTCGGAGTTATACCGAGTCCCTATTTTGCATGATCCGTGACTTTCCAACTCGGAGACATACCATACTTCGACAAATACAGTTTCGGCTGACCGTACCCAAACCAACCCGCCGAATACCCCTCGTGCTTGAAAATTAATCGAGTATTTCCCTCAAATTTCCCTGCTTAGCAACATGTGCATGCAGTTTGGCACAAAATACCTCGCGCAAGCGCTCGGGATTTTGATACTGCCAAACTTCATACACATGTTGCTAAGCAACGAAACTTTCGGGAAATACTCGATAATTTTCAAGCACCGGGGTATTATAACTGGTAATTCCATTATAATTATAACTGGTATTCCATGGGTAATTCGTCGGAAAAATTCTGAATTTCCAGAAAAAAATGTTTTTTTTTATTCCGATGGGTTTTTCACGGCAAAAATGAAACTTTTCTGTACGAAAAAGTGGAAAATCGCGCTTGTGACCCGGTTCCCCAAAATTTATCACTTATTATACCACAAGAGCTCCAAAATTATTGAGTATTTCCCGATAGGTTCGTTGCAAACAAACGAAGGAGTCAAGTTTTTGCAGTTAAAAAATAACGAGCGCGAAGCGCGAGTGATTTTTCTGAAATACTTGACGACTTTGTTTGTATGCAGGGAACATCGAGGCAAATACCTGATTAATTTGGAAGTTCGAATGGTATTCGGGGGATTATTTTTTCAATCCAAATTTCGGTCAACAGGATTGCACCATGAGACAAAATTGATCTGTTAGTTTCGACGAGGGGTTCACTCCACTGAAAGATCTTTTCTTTTTTACATAGCAACTACCAGAGAAAATTATCAAACAATTATCAGTTGAAAACCATGTTCTTTGTACCATGTGATGTCTAATGGTCTAATCCTGTTGACTGAAATTTGGATTGAAAAAATAATCAAGATTTTTTTTTTATTTTTCATAAAAGATAGTTTTTTGCCATGACTTTGTCGAAATCCTAGACTTGGCGCAAAATGGTCAGTTGGTAATTGGTGGAATTACCCATATAAGTGAATAAATATGAAATATGGAATAATTAAATCTAATTTCTCATCTTGTGGAATGATTATGGAAAAAAGGATGTTGGAAAAATTAATGAGAAATAGATTTCAAATTCTTCAAATTCTACAAATCCGTAATGAATAGGTATTTGACTGAAAGGAACAATAGATTCTCATATTTCTACATCAATAATATATGGGCAATGCCATGTGATCTCAACGTGGTCAAAACCCTCCCCATCGTCAATCATAAAGCCTATTTTTTTGGGGGTTGTATGTGAAATATGATGACTTCTCAAATTTTTCCTGATTTTTTTGACGCATTCTGCGAGCAGTTATTATATATTTTATTCCAAGTTTTGTCTTCGAACACCTACATCTTCCGTAAAAATCAACCAATTTATTTTCATTTTTTCAAAATGTGTGTCTTCTGACCTACTTTTCATACGGAGGTGGTCAATTTTCTTTTCTTCGTTCTTCCATCGCTTCCCTTTCAAAAACGTAAAAAAAAATGTTAAAATACTTGTTTTCGCGGTTGTACCTATTCTATTTGTTTATAAAAATTTCAGTGGATATATTGGCTCCAAAATAAATATTTTCACCAAAGGCCAAAGTGAAGATCCCATTGGAACACATAAAAAATCATTCAATTGTTTGAGATCTGAATAAGGTGCATTGATTTTTCAAGCGACAAATTTACATTATGCATCCACGTTCAAATGCAGACGAAGTTTTGATATCTTTTTAATTTTTCATCATGAATTCGTATATTCAAATTGAAAATGGGAGCCACCTAATGGGATCTTAACTTTGGCCTTTGGTGGAAAATTGTTTTCTGGTCCTATATATTCACTGAAAATTTTATTAAAAAATTCCTCTTTGAAAATTGTGTCAGAAGATGCACATTTTGAAGAGAAAAAAACAAATTGAATTGTTTGATTTTTATGCATGTTACAGGTGTGTGAAGACAACTTAGAACACAATACAACTGCTGACAAGACGCAGCAAAAATGTGAAAATATTTGAGAAGCATACACAACCACAGAAAAAATTGGCTATATGATTGACGATGGTGAGGGTTTTGAAAGATTTTTATTTTGATCCAATTCCTTGACATCTCCTCAAAATTATCAATAGACTTTGAAGTTCAGAAAAGATATAGCCACTTTTATTCACTACTTGTTGCGTGTCAAAACACGCGAAATTACATTTTTTCTCTATTTAATTATTTTGAGACATTTTCTTAGATTTTTTCCCGTCTCCATTCAAATAATTTTCCCAAAGGTATTTCGTAGAATTTTAATTAAATTCAGTTCCGTCCTTTCGACAAATTGTAAATGTGTAAACTCATTCAAAATATTTCTTAAATATCTCCTCTAGACTCTCTTAAATTATTTTATTGAAATAATCCTCATATTTACCAAAACTTTGTAAAGGACATTTCTCAGAAATTTAATCACTGCCAGAAATTGTCCTAATCCCTTCATTCAACTCAAAAATTTGTATTTTTAAATTACTTTATAGCTTCTTTTCCATTTTATTGCGCTCGACCCTCCACGGTCCCTCAATATTTTCGCCCAGACGCCCTTTATTGGGGAATAGGCCCAAGACGCGCCAATCTCTCCCTCTCTCCGTACTTCCTGCACTTCTAAATTTTCCACGACACCTCTCCAATCATAATTATTGTCCCTCCCATCACAGGTCCTTTTAACCAATCATTTGCAAATTCAGAAAACCATTTTTCCTCCTCCACTTTTCTATCCCTTCTACTTTCAAGTTCCAACTTGTCCTCAACTTTAATATTTTTAATCAGTATCGATCTCTACCTCGCAAAGAAAACACCTCAACGGAGGTACTCTTGTATCATCTATTAACTGTTAAAATAAAATAAAACGACATTAACTGTTAGAATCGTGAGTGATTATTCCAAGTCTCCAACCACCCAAGTCTCCTCACCTCTAACATTTCCTCTCATCGAATCCTTCCTCATCTTAACAAACAGTTACACAAAGAATACCTCGGCGTGTAACAATTATCGCAAATATTGTTCTGTATAGGTCAGATCTCTGGAACTTACAACTCCAGAGAGTTCAAAATCGAACGCAGTATTCCCGCGATTTACCACATGGTCCTTCGAGCCGGATTGTTTAAAATCATTCGTGCTTAAATTCTGTAAATTCTAATGTAATTAAATTCAGTGTGATAGACTCAGTGTAATAGATTCAGTGTAATAGACTCAGTGTAATAAAACTTAGTGTAATAGACTTCGTGAATAGACTCAGTGCATTCAGTGACATCATAGTGATTTCTCATAAACTTTTGCATATTGTTGCAATCGAAAGATCTCGCGCCTCCAATTTTCTCACCGGGGGAGCTTAACAAAAACGAATGGTATCACATCGTCCCATCCGTGGAAATCAACGCACACATACAGACATGGCTCACATTGAGAATTTGAAGGCAAAAAGCACAGCCTTCAAAACACGCCTTACAAAGTGTAGAAACTTTCTGGATACTGACGGTCCAGAGGCAATGAGTGAACTCTTGGAAATAAAGCTACAAACAATAAAAGAAAAATACGCTGAATGGGATCGAAGCAACGCATCACTCCTGGAACTCGATGTGGACAACCAGGAAACAAACACAAATGACGCTTACACAATTGAAGAAAACTACGACATGGTAGTAGCTAGGCTGAGTCGTTTAATGAAGGACAAGACGCCAGCCCCTGCACAGCCACTAACACCACTACAACCGACACCAGTTGATCGAGCTGGTTACTCTCCAAGCTTCAATATGAAATTGCCTGAAATCACCCTACCCACATTCGATGGACGATTCGAAATGTACAGGCCTTTCAAGGATCAGTTCAACGCACGACTTCCCAACCACATCGATAAGGTAATTAGACTTCAATATCTCCAAACGAGCTGCAAAGCAGAAGCTGCTCAAGCCATCGAAGCATTGGAGATCACCGCTGAAAATTATGACGTGGCCTGGGCTCTCCTAGATAAGAAATTCGACATCCCAAGACAAGCTCTTCGACGTCACTGTTCTCTTCTCCTCAACATTGGAAAAAGAACTAGAGAGAACAACAAGTCACTCATCGATCTCGTCAACTCAGTACGTCAGCAGCTACGATCGATCAGCAGTTTTGGGACAGCTGATGATCAACTAAATGGCCTGGTATGCACCATCATCCTCAATCAACTCGATGAAGATCTGGTATTCCAATGGGAAACTCTCATAGAAGGCAAGGAAATACCCAAGCATGACGAACTTCTCGATTTCCTCGAGAAGCGAGGAATTTGCGCGAAGAATGCTGACACATCCAAAAGCATCAAGCAGAAGAACGAGCAGTCGCAGAGCAAGAATTCACACCACAAACAACATTCTCACTCCAAACAACAACCTAATGCCACATCTGGGCATTCAGGCACTCCAAGAGCTCAGACCTTCTTCTCCAACACCCCCAGGAAGTGTCCAGTCTGCACTGAGGACCACAGGATCTACGAGTGTCCAAAATTTGCAGAAATGGACGTTGAAAAAAGAAAGAAGGTCATTTTCGATCAAAATCGTTATCTCAATTGCTTTGCAAAGGGACATGGAGTAAAGGAATGCACTTCAAAGGGTTATTGCAAGACGTGCAATGATCCAAAGGCTAGACACCACTCACTGCTCCACCACACCAAGGAATCTCCAACACCATCAGAAAGTACTAGTGCATGACTAGACACTCCAACTCCTCCAACTCCATCAGCCATCTCTTTACCACTGGATTCATCAGGACAGGACATCCTCCCCACAGCAGTTATCAATCTGCTAGATAGAAATCATCAACCAGTCCAATGTCGTGCCCTAATTGACACCGCCTCTACAAAGAACTTCATCACTCATGAATTGGCTGCTGAGTTGGGCATCAAAAAGGTAACTTGTTCAATTCCAATCGGCGCTCTAAATAAACTCTCCACAATGGTGCATCACAGAATCAGCACAACAATCTCTTCTCGTTTGAATAACTTCAAGAAAGAATTGAATTTCTTGATTGTCCCAAGGATTTCATCTCTCGTTCCCAGTGAACAGATTGATAGAGAATCACTAGAAATTCCCAAGAATTTGCCTCTAGCAGACGCGGATTTCCACAGACCTTCTCCGATCCAGGTCTTGCTGGGGTCCAGCACCTCCATCTCCGTCCTCAGTATAGGACAAGTCAAGGTTCCCAACGCAGGGGATATCTATCTTCAAAAAACCCTATTTGGCTGGATTGTTTGTGGCAGCATGAACAACGAGTTTGATTACGTTCAAGCTAAATGTCACTTCACTGAAATTGTCGATGAATTCAAAAAATTTTGGGAAATTGAAGACATCGGGCTCAAAGAGAGCCGACAATCAGAAGTAGAAGCAGCCTGCCAGGCTCACTTCCAACAGCACGTGTCACGTAATTCTGAAGGACGGTATGTCGTGGCACTCCCCTTCAATGAGAAGAAAGATCAACTTGGCACATCTTTTCTTCAGGCGAAACGTCGCTTACTCTCTCTAGAAAGGAAATTCAAATGGAATTCCAAACTCGCAGAAGACTACACCAAGGTCATCAATGAATACAAAGAACTTGGTTATATGAAGAAGATCAACACAGAAATAGAAGATGGTTTCTACCTCCCGCACCACGCAGTCTTCAAGGACACCAGCCTCACCACCAAGACCAGAGTGGTCTTTGATGGCTCAGCACGTTCCAGTACTGGTGTCTCCCTCAACGATGCTCTCATGGTTGGTCCAACCATTCAGGACGACATTCTCGGTCTGGTATTACGATTCAGACTCCATAACTACATCTTCACTGGCGACATCGAGAAGATGTATCGTCAGGTGCTCATCCGACCTGAAGACACAAAGTATCAACGCATACTCTGGCGAGAAAACAACGAGATCATGACTTATGAGCTGCAAACTGTCACATTCGGCCGNTCAACCAGTCCAATGTCGTGCCCTAATTGACACCGCCTCTACAAAGAACTTCATCACTCATGAATTGGCTGCTGAGTTGGGCATCAAAAAGGTAACTTGTTCAATTCCAATCGGCGCTCTAAATAAACTCTCCACAATGGTGCATCACAGAATCAGCACAACAATCTCTTCTCGTTTGAATAACTTCAAGAAAGAATTGAATTTCTTGATTGTCCCAAGGATTTCATCTCTCGTTCCCAGTGAACAGATTGATAGAGAATCACTAGAAATTCCCAAGAATTTGCCTCTAGCAGACGCGGATTTCCACAGACCTTCTCCGATCCAGGTCTTGCTGGGGTCCAGCACCTCCATCTCCGTCCTCAGCATAGGACAAGTCAAGGTTCCCAACGCAGGGGATATCTATCTTCAAAAAACCCTATTTGGCTGGATTGTTTGTGGCAGCATGAACAACGAGTTTGATTACGTTCAAGCTAAATGTCACTTCACTGAAATTGTCGATGAATTCAACAAATTTTGGGAAATTGAAGACATCGGGCTCAAAGAGAGCCGACAATCAGAAGTAGAAGCAGCCTGCCAGGCTCACTTCCAACAGCACGTGTCACGTAATTCTGAAGGACGGTATGTCGTGGCACTCCCCTTCAATGAGAAGAAAGATCAACTTGGCACATCTTTTCTTCAGGCGAAACGTCGCTTACTCTCTCTAGAAAGGAAATTCAAATGGAATTCCAAACTCGCAGAAGACTACACCAAGGTCATCAATGAATACAAAGAACTTGGTTATATGAAGAAGATCAACACAGAAATAGAAGATGGTTTCTACCTCCCGCACCACGCAGTCTTCAAGGACACCAGCCTCACCACCAAGACCAGAGTGGTCTTTGATGGCTCAGCACGTTCCAGTACTGGTGTCTCCCTCAACGATGCTCTCATGGTTGGTCCAACCATTCAGGACGACATTCTCGGTCTGGTATTACGATTCAGACTCCATAACTACATCTTCACTGGCGACATCGAGAAGATGTATCGTCAGGTGCTCATCCGACCTGAAGACACAAAGTATCAACGCATACTCTGGCGAGAAAACAACGAGATCATGACTTATGAGCTGCAAACTGTCACATTCGGCCGCTCCTCTGCTCCGTACCTCGCAGTAAGATGTCTACATCAACTAGCTGATGACGAACAGGAACGGTATCCAACTGCTTCAACACTCCTGAAAAGAGATCTCTATGTTGATGATCTCCTCACTGGCACCTCTACTCTCGAAGAAGCCCTACTTCTCAGGGATAAAATGATCAGTCTTCTGAAAGCAGGTGGTTTCAACTTACGTCAATGTGCCTCCAACTCTCCACAAGTACTTCAAGGCCTACCAGAATCTACTGTCAATCTCCAGCTGTTAGGAGGAGATGATTCCACTCTCAAAACTTTTGGAATCCATTGGGATTCACAGAATGACAGTATTGTGTATACTGTTAATCCAATCGCCACAACTGACATCATCACCATGAGAACCATAGCATCAGACGTAGCTCGCATCTTTGATCCCCTCGGACTCCTGAATCCAGTAGTGACTCACGCTAAAATCATCCAGCAAGAATTATGGAGGCTCAAATTAAACTGGGATGACTCCACACCAGCAGAAATTCACACCAGATGGAATGAATTTGCCTCACAGCTTCCTCTTCTCAATGAAATGCAGTTCAAACGTCAAGTCACAACAAACCTTCAACAACTAGAAGTGCACGGTTTCTGTGATGCTAGCCAGAATGCCTACGGAGCCTGCATCTACCTCAGATCAGT